TTAAATCCCATAGAGCGGGGGGGGGGAGGGGGGAGGGGGGGGCCTAACGATCCTATAAACCACATTATTCATACTGAATTGTGGTTAAAAATAAATTTCATTTGAAAACTATTAGAAAATAATTTTCCCGAAATAAAACATTCAGATTTGTTCAAAAATAAGGAGTAAAACTTTAATAATCGGGGAAAGAGCAATCTTATTTTGGCTCTTGGCGTTCAAAGGTTATATTAAATTAATGATCACCCTCAATAAAAGGATACCAAAAATATGTAATATACTTGTTGATTTGATACGATATCGAAATTAGTCTCACCCCCGTGGCCGCTATTTTTATTTTTAAAATTATACTCAATTTTGCCCATTTCTGGCAATGTTTTTCGTAGTGATAGTCTATTAGTACTTATCAAATGCGTTCATTTGATATGCTATAACCTAGTTTATTCAAAAACATGGACAAAAATGGGAAAATTTGAGTAAAATTCTTTGAAATTTAAATTGCTGCAACGGTGGCGTTACTATTGTTAAAGGGGTATATTATATATTTTTGGAATTTTATTATAAAGGGCTATCATTATTTTCATATAACTTTTTGAAGTCAAAAGGCGAAGTAATATGGTATTTTATCTATTGGTATGGTATTTTGCAAGTACACTTAGAAATTGGGTATGACTTTATCATTGTTAACCACATCCCTCAATTTGATGGAGGAGAAGTTGGGTCAACAGGTATTAACAAAAACATATTTAGTTAAGTTGTAGAGACTACGTGACAAGAGTAAATAAAAATAAATACACAATTATGAATACCAATTATTTGAGTATGCAATATTGTTATTAAATAAGATTTTACATAGCATTTGGTAAAGTGATCATTAAAAATATTGCTTCCAAATGCCATCACAAGTTCTTTCGTATGGATTTTCAAGAATTAGTGATTCAGTGCTTGGATTAAAATCCTTTACTCTTATCATTGATTTATCCCAAAATTGTGGCCACAATTCGTGTGATTTTCTATTTTTATAATAATATAAATAAATTAATTTAATTTTAGTTAAGGTAAGGATATATTAATATACAGTGTGTTTAATGAATTAGATTATATTCTAACGAACAATTGGGACTAGCTCAAGTAAATAGAATATACCGTAAAATCTTGTGCGATACCCGCATCTCATGTACGACTCGCATTCATTGAATATTTTATTAATAAAAACTGTTTCACAAAAAAAACAATACCGTTGTATTGATTTAAGTTGTAAATTGTTAATACATTGAAAGATTCATTAATTATTGTAATACTTTCTAAAACTAAACATAACTAACTTATTGCACAATAATATAAGATATCATGAAAGACACTAGAATTTTAATCATAATTGAATTTGCAAATTTATCCAATAGCCGAACGATCCTATAAACTCATATATTCTTCATATATAAAATGTGGTTTAAAATGTTGCAATTGTAACAAAAAACTAATAAAAATTAAATAAATATATTGTCAACACCTCTGGTCTAAACTATGTCATTTATGTTGTTTGTTAAAAGTGATTTCAATTAAATACTCATTTAAAAGGTGTGACAAAACACTGGAAAGAAATTAATATTTTGTCCTTCTTTTTGTAATTTATTAATGACTATTTTTGATCAGTCGTTCTTTTTAAAAGGATTTTTTGTGGTCACCCTACTACAATCTTGTGTAAAATCACCATAGTGTAAAGAACCTTATTTTAAATATAATACAAATATCATAATTACCCCGTCTTTGCAAAATTGGCCCAAATTTTCATCACTCCAATGGTATAATTATATTCAATATATGTCACTAATTTTGGACATTGAAGTGAAAATCCAAATATAAACACCAATTCAGAGCCGTGACAAACATTACCGTCACATTGGTTGACTAGATTATAAAATTTTGCAACGTGATTGAAACGATAATAGTATACTATATTGGTATTAATTTTGGTGAACTTTTTTGCAAAATGATATGTGGGACAAGTAATGAACAAATCTCCCAATAATGCTATGAACGCTGCTTTCAGTTGTGCTGAATTTGCTTTGTTAACACTTTTTAGGTAATAATCGGTTATTTTGTTTACATCTATGTTATAATATTCAGCATTTAATTTATTGATTAATTTTCTAAATAAATGTTCAGTGAATTCATTGTTTAACTCTGGAATAGTCCAAACACCAGACAGCGATCCCTCGTCTTTGGCCAAACCCCCCATCAATTCAACATCTGTTTTGTTTATTATGGTATTAAGTATAATAATGTGAATTTGTATTTGAATTTAATTCACAATTATTTAGTTCAATGCATTTATACCCGAATTATATAGATTTGTCTCAAAAGCTTTTTGGGCTATTAATGGAAGAAACTCTGTGCCGAACACCGGACGAGTTATAGTTAGGATAGCGTTTGTGGTTTTGTCGATAAACATTGTGGAATCGTTGATTGCCCGCAAACAGTCTAACCATTTGCCGCCACACTTCGTACAGTTTAATCGTTGAGCTAATGTCTTGGCTTTGATCAATGCCTTAGTAGTATTGACGGCCGGACGCAGTTTGTTGTAAATAAGAGCCCCGCTCTGCATAATAGCTCTTTTAAATAAACCTTTAGATAACGGGGAGAGTATGTGTGCGGATACCGACCAACTTCCAGCACTGCTACCAAATATGGTAATCCGATCCCTATCTCCTCCAAACCCGTCAATATTTTGCCTAACCTATCGTGGAATTAGTTAATGAATTGCTTATAATTATGCATTATTAGCAAATACCCATTTGAGTGCCAACAATTGGTCATAAAAGCCCACATTTCCGGGCGTTGTTTCGTCGCTACCATAAAGAAAGCCCAACGGCCCGAGTCTGTAGTTAATTGCAACCAAAACCATATCATTGACCGCCAAAACGCTTAAATTATTAATGTCGACAAATATTGATCCAGCGCTTAGTCCACCATGGTGAATCATAAACATCACTGCCTTAAGGTTGCTTTTACGTTGATTATGGTTTATATTACAACCATTTGGTGTCCATATATTTAATACCAGACAGTCTTCGCTGATATTTATGCGTTGAAACAAATAGGGAGGCATTGATATTCTTTGTATGCAAGCATTTCCTCGTTTTGTGGCGTCTATTATTTCCTAAATTTCAATTCAATTAATTAAGTAATAATTATTATAATTAAAATTTTGTTAAAAAGTATACCTTTTTGGGTGATTTTAAGGGTAATGGACGCGCGAACCTTAACCTTCCCAAAGGAGGCTCAGCGTAGGGTATATTTAAAAATTGATGTATTTTTTGATTTAATACATGGAGTCCTGATGTTTGACCCCTGACTACACCCAAACTTGTCGTCACATCAATTGTATTTTCATTGCAAACGCAACACACTATTAAACATACGGTTATTATATAAGAGAACATTTGTTCAAATTATAACAATAATAATACTATACATTAAGTACTATACTTTATATTATTCAATGGTTCGGACAGCATATCATATTATAATAGTTTTGATAATTTCGAAATTATTGATGTAATTTGTGATCAGAGTTGTTGACAATATACTTTGTAACCATGTATTAACAGTTAAACTGTAATCAATATATACAGAGATCTATTTCTGCAAATGTTTTAGCTTTAATATAATTAGGGAAACCGCCTTCTTGCAACTTTCTTGCAACTTTATATATATTATAGCATAATTGGATGTTTATTAATATGTCTATTTGCTTATGAGTGTTGTATTTGTAGTAAAAATACACAATTGACTCATACTGCAATATATATGAAAAACATGACTGGTTTCCTTAAATATAATACATTAATTAAATATTTTTAAACCATATTGATGTTCAATTAATTTGTATTAAATGTGTTAAATTAATTAATTTGTATTTATAATGTTTACACATTATGTTAGATTTATACGTATTCATTGTATTTGTAATTGTATGGATGTTAATTGTGTTTTGGGCCACAATTAGACATTTGTTAAATATATATTTTCCAAAACCAAACCAAAAGCACAATACATGCGATAATGTGTTGAATTGCTTTTCTCTAATCACTAATTATTGTGACTCTATTCGTGTGAAGAGCACGTCATTGACTGCAACTGCGGACAAAATGAGCGGTCAGTTTATGGATGAATACAATGTGATGGACGGCATTCGAGTACTGATAAGCATGACTTCTATTTGTTTTCACCTTGGGTTAATTATTATTCATGTGACTAACACTGAATTTATAGTTACAAACACTGATCATCAGATAGGGTAAGAACTTTACTATTCGTATTTATATATTACAATATAATGCGCGAACAGCATAGTTAACGACCGGGAAAAATGCACTTACCAGCCGGGAGACTATCTTCCGGCACTTCCCGTCTGTTTGTAGGCGCTTTCCGGCGCCTCCCGGCACTTACCGTGACCTTCCCGTCTAACCGCTCGCGTATTATATGCCTTATTAATAAAGTAGACACAAATTAAAAGTAAAGTTATTTAATAATTAAAAGTTAAAATACATAAAAGTATACAAAAAGTTAGTCTCAATAATGAGTCTCAACTCTGAGACTTAAAGTTCTAATGGTATAGTTGCCTAATACAGAATTTAAGAGTCATGCAATGTAATGCCAGTGCTGTGGGACTGGGCACTGGTCATATACCCAGTCAACCAGCTTTGGAATGTCAAAACAGTACGGAAATAGGGAGAGGAAAGTTGACGGGGTTTGCATGAAAAATTACATAGATTTCAATGAGTAACATGGGTTTAAATGGGCAGTGTTTCATGGGTTATACTCAATATTTACAATTATATAAAATTTTGTATTCAAATTCAAATATCTATTTTGATTATTTATATATTATAATTATTTAAGTAACTTACTATACGCAACCCCCTAATTCGATTATGGTAGTTCTATGGAAGATACCAATGGCCAAGTCTATTGATGTCCGTGTATTACAATGAATACAATGATCACAAGATATGTTTATGTGAGAGTAGTGGTCAATTTGACACTAGTCTTAACGAATAAAGACTCAACGTTTGTTAAATCACACAAAAGAAATGTTTTACACTATAATGTTATATACCATGTTATAACCGCTATCCACTGCACTCACGCCTCTATTCATTTGTCCATTTAAAGATGGTGAACAATTGTGACAATTTACTACCATTGTGTACATTGTCATACTTATATCAATAACCGTGGCCATCGGCACATCTGATACACTCTTCTTAAGTTATAAGTACACTGTAAAAATGAATATAATAAATATTAAATACTTTAATTTGTGGTTTTGTGTTTTTGTAAGCATAATATGGTCACTATTACTTATAAAGTTATTGATTTGTATAAAAGAATACTAAATCAAACCAGTTGACCACATAAACATTGACAAACGGTCTAATCAATTTTTAATTCTGATGACACATAAATCTCTCTCTCTCTCTCTCTCAATAGTATCTTTATGTTTTAAATCCCTAACCTGTGGTTCAGTCACACAAAAATAGAAATTCAGAGTCTGATTAATTTAAATATGACTGGATAGGTAAGATGAGCAAGGTGTCCATGTTAGTAGCAAATTATTGCTCATAATGGTTCTGAAGTGGGTGCAAATAGGGTATGTGTTCAGATTTACTTCAATTATTTAACAAATCAACATGTTATGTTATGTGACATGAAACTATGCCAAATAAGGAGTTGATTGATTTTTCACATATGGCTGTTCAAACTCGGGTTCGGCCGCAGTGACCACTTGTATTAGCAAATTTAACTTATCCAATACTAACATGTGATATATAAAATCAATGTAGAATTTAACGTAGAGTTNGTCGTAGACATCAGTGAACTTCACTTAATCTAATACACAATCTCTTAATCTAATGTGGGTTTAGGATTGATATCTGGACCGTAATCGTGGGTCTATTGATCACATTCTCGACCGCATTGATAGTGGTGTTCGAGAGGAATAGCATGACTCCAGGTGTGGCCGGTTTTATACTCGTCTATTCGGTTGATGTCATTAACAGTATTTCATGGGCTCTGCGGATGGCATCAGATCTCGAGACTAATATGGTATCCGTGGAAAGGGTTAGGGAGTACTCGGAGTTGGAGACAGAGAGGAGTTGGCATTCAGTCGATGAATACAAACCATCCGCCGATTGGCCGACCAATGGTTCCGTTGATTTTATCAATTATAGCGCTTCTTATAGACCAGGACTCGAACCTGTGGTCAAAGGTTTGAATTTAAGGATAGAGTCGGGAGAGAAGGTGGGAATAGTTGGCCGAACCGGTGCCGGAAAGTCGTCAATGACTTTGGCTTTGTTTCGTATAATTGAGCCAACATTTGGTCAGATAATCATTGATGGCGTGGATGTGACTCGTATTGGTTTACATGACTTGCGATCGAAGTTAACAATTATACCACAAGAACCCAATCTATTCGCCGGAACCCTAAGACTCAATTTGGATCCGTTTGAAGAATATTCTGACCAACAGTTGTGGACAGCACTGGAAAGGGCGCACTTGAAGGTAAGGTTGCATTAATTAATTTTCATAATAACATTTGATTATTATTTTATAGGACTTCATATGCGGCACATCTGAAGGGCTGTCGCATGAGATCAGTGAAAGCGGTGACAATTTGAGTGCAGGTCAGAGACAATTGGTGTGTTTGGCGAGAGCTCTGTTGAGGGACACGAAGATCCTGGTGCTCGACGAGGCGACCGCTGCCTGCGATCTGCAAACCGATTCATTAATTCAGACAACAATTGCTGAACAGTTCAGTGACTGCACTGTTCTGACAATCGCTCACCGATTGAATACAGTCTTGGATTACAATAAGATTATTGTTTTAGACAACGGAATGATTGTCGAAATGGATTCGCCGAAAAAATTACTCAAAAAACTGATTCTCTTTTCTATAGTTTAGCGAAAAAGTTTGGACTTATTGTATGAATTTATTTATAAAAAAAATTATTTGCAATAAAATCTCATATTTCATTAAAATTATACAATTTTTTGTGCAATTTTTGGCATTTCTAGATCAGGAATAGGAAGGGATCTCTGGACTGTTGCATGAATTGTCTATAAAGTCACTCTATTTTCTATACATTTGTGGCGATTATATCTAAAATGATGCCAAAGAAATGGTCAAAAGCCAATACTCTGTAATTTTCAATATTACACTAAATATTTGACAATAAAATATAAATGTTCTTTTATTACTTGCATTCATGAAATTATAATTAATTAATTTTATTCATTTTATAGTTGATTAGTAATACTAATTCTTAAATCGACTGAACTCACAAAATCTACTTTATTGGGTGAGAAAACATTACAAAATACTAATAATTGTAATCAATAATTATGTTGTAAACAGAATTATTATACAATTTTTAATCATTAATTATTTGATTGAATATAATCAACGATATATGTGGAGATGTGGTGCGGATTATCGGCCTGGAAAGGGCAATGACTCCAACCCTTCTAACCCGGAAGATAATGGACATGAAGGCCAACCTTAGGCTAAACCAATATCGCTGATAATAGATTGAGGATAATCTCATTAATCCATTCATGCCTTAAACTCTATTATAACGCGATATTCATTTAAAATACTTATCCTAATTATCGGTAAAACAGGTTCTAAGTCGAATAACTCAAAATCGATTTGAAATAGAAATTTTCAGTATTATTTAATTGTTAAATATCACAAACTAATAAAGTATGTCAAATGATAAACTTACTTGTTAATTATTAGCATAAATGGTGGTGAAACAATAATAAGATGTACCAATGGGGAAGTGGTCCATGATGTAAAATGGCACTAAAATCATACGATAATATAAATATAGCATTTAATATTGCAATTAAAATAACTTGGTAATTATAATTAATAATAAATATATAATATGTTATAATGTTACTTACAATATTGTTATTTTTAATGTAATTAGATACAAATAATAAATTTAAAATCCAATTATGATTACAAATATCGTACTCTCGTTTGTCATAGTATCGATCGGAAATAAAATATCTGACATAAATTACATAAACATATGTTGAAAAATAATAGATGGGAATTATTCTCCAAATTCGATCAAAGTAGAATTTTAAGGCTATTTTGATTGAGCTTTCATAATAATTATAAATGTTTTGTTGTTTCTTCAATTGTCGGGTAAACCATTTCATTGAAACGAATCCATTGGACATGAATGCAATGCTCATCACCAGTTTCATACAACAACGAGTTATGTATCTAATTAATAAAATTATTACTAATCTAATTGTTGAAATATTAAGTTAATAAATATACATTTAGTATTTGGAAACATACAATTCATTATTTATTTAATTAATATATTTATATTTAGAATCTAAATTTTAGATACTATAACCTTTAACTCCCGGGCCATTAACTGTATTTAACTGTACATTGTACATGAATTGGGTGGAAACTGTACCCTCAAAAAGAGAGATGAGCAAGGTAGTTAATTTGCAAATAAAATTCTGAAGTGGGTTCAAAGTGGTGTGTGAGGGCGTGTGAGGGTGTGTGTTGATGTTCACTTTAATTATTAACAAATCAACATGTTATGTTATGTGTTATGAAACTATGTTAAATAAGGAGTCGATTAATTGTTTACATATAGATGTCCGACTTCGGGTGACCACTTTTATCAGGAAATTTAACGTATCCAATGCT